AAGCCTGTCTCCATCATACTGTCACAGCTGAAGAGAAATGCAGAAAGCAGGCCATATCTTAATATTATTATACATTGTGTATACACACCCTTCATTGTGTGTATGTAACAAACTGAAATGAGAGTGATGTCTCTCAAGAGCAAGTGCAGCCATTTCTGAGGTAACAACAACAGCAGTTTTTCAGTGAATTGCCATACAGCAGCTTTGCAGGCACAGAAATGCATCAAATCTTGATTGGAAATCACCTGAGCAGCAGCATGAATTTACAGAACACAGTAAGATTTGGTGATGAGGGGAGAGGGAAATGAGGAAGACAAGTGTGGAAATTGAGAAAAAGATTCTGGGAAGTGCAGAGAAAAGGAAGGATTCTTTCTCCTGGTTTATTTCAGGCATATCTGAAATTCAGCTGTGATACGACCATCCCATGTGACTACAGGGACGTAATTTACCCCTTGCCTTTCTGTTCACTTGACTTCTGTTGGGAGCACTCTTCTAGCAATGGAGAGTGGCTGTCTTTGCAGCTCACTTCAGGCACAGCAAGCTGCTCACTGACATACAAATGTGGTGAAGTGTGTTTGCATTACCCTAGCACCAGGAATGGGAATAGCTGTATTTGTCATTGAACAATTTGTCAGTTTACAGACTTCATAAAAGTCTGTTTTCCAAAGGAATAATCTGTTAATGGAGATACTCACATTGGACGTCTGATCAGAATATTTTCTTGAGACTCTGAGCTGACGTGAGAGCACGCTGTATGAATTTGCAGATTGACTGAGAAATGTATCCATTAGTATGAGGAGCTGTTACTTTAATTCAGAACTGAACAGGATTTGGGAACTTCTGGTATTTTTCAGATAACTGCCTTCTGATATTTCAGGCTTTTCATCCAGAGACAAGATGAACCATTGTATGTGAGAGAACATACAGTGCAGGATTCCAGCAATACACATCATTCAGATGGACTGTAACTGTTTTACACCCCAAGGAAAGCACTGCTTTTTTTTTGGTCTTCTGATTCATTTGTCATAATTTTTGTCTGGGAAACAACAGCAAGTATGTAAGGTAAAACAAAAACCCATATAAAATACCTCCACTCTATCCAGGTTAAAAGCTTTGTGATGGTCCAGCAGTACAAATACAATAAATACCACAACCAAAGTACATTCTGTACCAACTACATGCTGTGCTGGTAATGATGAATTTGCATAGTCCTGAGCCTCATCAGAAAGTGTTGCTGCTTGTTGTATTTTAAGCAGTATTCCTTAAAGGTGCCATGATACAGAAAGTCTTCTAGTTAGATTAATCTAACTAAGGGATTTAATGCCATGCAATTGCATCCCATAAAATTGGTGCTGGTGACGCAATGTTGATTTTGAAGATAGCTGCTGAAGTTTCTAAATTTTTGCTGTTGTAGATACTATGGAAATTGACTGCTTTAATTGATAGGTGTTCTGTATACTTTTTACTAGCAGACGCTGATAATCCCTTTTTCCCTTTTTCTAACCATGAAAACAGTACAGGAGACAAAGTAAAATTTATTCTTTTCATCCCCAGTGACTCATTGAAGGGTTTGTAAAGAAATAGAATTCATTGTCATTCTAACTTCTTTTAAAACTTATTTGATATACTCTTTCCTGCTAGATAACACCTTCCTGCTATAACCGTGGCTTTCCCGTTTATGAGATTTTTATGGTTCTTTCCCAAGATTTATCTTACAGCTCTGGCTGAAAACACTTTTTGTCTGATTTATTCAGGTTCTAAAATGACCAAAGCAACAGATGTCCAGTCTGTGACATGATACTGCTCCTTTCATTGAATAAAATACTGTATCACAATTTTGAGTAGCTGCTTCTAGAAACATAGCTTTGATAAGGGAAAGAAATCGAAGATGACAAGACGAGAATACTTACTGTACCATTCATTCTGTGTTCACTCATTTTTGACAGCATAAGATTGATTTTAGCAAAATAAGGTTATATTATATAGAAATTATTGTCATGTAAAGAGTCCAGCTCTGATTCATTGAGGTCAACTGGAAGACTGCAGTTCTCAGGAGTGTTTTAGCATTGCTGTTCTTGAATATTGTACCAGAAGATTCAGACCTAAAGTAGAAAACACTGAGACTTAACTCTCAGATAAATAAGCTGTTGAACTACTTAGCATGCTGTATTGCTTGTACAGTCAACCTATGTGGCTATTTCTTGAAACTTCTTCCTCTCTTCAGGAACAAGCAATGGAAGTACTGCATGGAAACAGTGATCCTGTGCTGTTTCCGTGTGTCACATCTCATTCAGTGGCTGAATAAGCTCACTGCTGGGTTTGTATAAACTAGGGATACAGAAATTAATTTTTCTTTCCATATTCCAGTTCCCTCCCAGGAGTGCCCTCTGGGCATTGCATTTTCTGCTCCCAGACTGCTCAATTCAACTTACTTGCAAAATGAATGAAAATCTTTGCTTGTTAAAGGTCACCAGAGAAATGACAGCAGGGTCACTGAATTGAGCTGCACTGGGGGAGAAGAATGTTCTTGCTTTCTGTGTTGAGTTTTGTGCTGACAATCCCACTATCTCTAACTTTGCGTATTTGACTTAATGAAAACTAAGGAATAAGCTTGACTAATTTTTATATCCTGCAGACTGTATGTGACCCCAGCATCATTCTCTCTCCTCTCCTCTCCCCTCCCCTTTTTTTCTGAGGCTTAACAGTTAGCAATTTATGTACTTTGATGCAGTTAATAAGAAAATGTGTGTATTTCAAGGCAGGCTATATTATTCTTTACCTGACTACAATCTCGGAGGTGTCCAAAGTAACAAAATTGAACTATGTATCTGTATGGGAACTGTTGAGTCTCAGCCTGAACCACTGATTGAGCACCTGGGAAAGGATCAGGTCAGACCTTGGAGCACAGGTGAAGGCTATTTGGCTGGGTGACTGGAAGGGTGGAGCCTGGCTGCACCTCTGAGAATTAATTTAAGGGCTGACCCCCCACCGGGAAGGATCTCTGGTTGGAGATCTCTTTCTTGTGTAGTTTTTCCCCATGAGCCTAGACCTTTGGAGACGAGCAAACATTCCTTTCATGTTTGTCCTTTTGCCTTTCCACTGTACTAATCTTTCTAACTGTAACAAGGTCATATTATTCTTTTGCTTAATGGAAAATTAATCAAGATCATTGCTGACTTTATTGAATGATGTAAGTTTGGTGCTTGAAAAATAAGAGTCTTCTTTTTAATCTCCAGTAAGAATGGACAGCCCTCCTCTATTATTAGGTATTGTCTACAGTATGTAATCTCATGACTGTATTTCTTCTTGCTTGTCATGTTAGCAAACTATAGAGTCTTAGATGATTTGCACTGGAAATTTTGAGCCATGTGGCAGATGAATAGACTTGAACTTCAGAAATCTTTTCCACTTGGCTATTGCACTAACCAATTTCTCCTTGTGATAAACTTCACTGCGTGGAAGAGTAAAACTGGCTAAGAGCAGATGCTCAAGAAATTCCTTACTCAGAGGGTTATGAGGCCCTGGCACAGCTGCCCAGAGAGCTGTGATGCTATATCCCTGGAGGTGCTCCAGGGCAAGTTGGATGGGGCCCTGGGCAGCTGAGTTGGGGGGTGGCAACCCTGCCTGCACCTGGGTGTTGGGGCTGGGTGGGCTCTAGGATCCTCTCCAGCCCAAGCTATTGCAAGATTCTCTGTTCCTTTTGTGTTGGCTCAGCAGTACGAAGAGAGAGAATGCCAGTGGCATCTCCTTTTTTGAAGTGCCACTGATATGTGAGCACTGCAGAGGCTGGAGGTCGGGCATGACTGCATGGATGTCGGCATTTGTGCTGGGCTCTGGCCATCCTGCTCTCAAATCACTTTTTGGAAATGGGAGCCTGCTGGGAGAGTTCAATACAGGGACCTTGACCCATGGGATGTAATCAGGAAAATGCCATGCCTTCTCGTGGCTCTTCTGAGCCTTTCAGTGGTTTGGGAAACAGATTTGTTTTGAAAAGTCTTCTATTGTAATACCTTAATTGTCCCTGACTGTATGACAGAGGCACTTTGTGCTTATCACACAGGAAGTAGCTGAGGCTTTCCAGTGCTAAAACATTAAAGACAAAATGTGATGATTTATGAGTTTTTCAAGCACCTCTCCCATCAGCATTAATTGCCCCCCTGCTGTTTCTGCTGCAAAACTCTTTTGCTCTTTCAGTATGCACAGTATACTGTGATAAACCATGGCTAGTTTGCAGTTAAAAAAAAAAAAAAGCCTCACTTTATGCAAATGATGTTGAAATAGGTTTGATTAAGTGATAAACAGTCACATTTAATGATTGCAACTGTTGGCTTTTTGTTTGTTATTTTACAGTTAGTTTTATGGATATAAATGGCTTTACAAAATCCCTTCTGGCATGAATGCTGTAATACAGCACTCTCATAAAAGTGTTTTAAGAGTTTAGTAGGGCCACCAGAGCAGATTCATAGGGAAAACGCATATCTCTAGCATTAGAGTGTCTTTTATCCCTTTGGTGGATGTCCTGTACACCTAAAAATCTCCCTGTACCTAGCAGCTTAAATTCTGTTTGAATGCATGATGCAGTTAGGCTTCATACCCTTTTCTTTATTTCCTCTTCCACTCTGCTTCTGGCACGTTATTATTCTTTCCAATAATAGTACAAGGCCTCTAGAACCCAATAGACCCCAGGAATAATTACAGATACATTAGTGTGCTGTCCCCACAGGTAGATTGAGTCAGTGCTTAATTTCTGTATAGGTCAGCTGTTGAGGAATGTGCTTGCTCTTGATTTCTCCATAGTTACCTAATAGGACAGAAATATTTCTGTCCCTCGTGTATTTGTCCTGTGGCTGGAGGCTGGTCCTCTCCCGAGTCTGGAGCACCCAGTACCCATGTATGGTTGATAATGAACATTAATGGGGAGATTAACTAATGGGGAAACCTAGATAAGGTGTGATTATGGCTGCATGAACACAGTTTGATTGTATCTTTGTCTGACTTAGGGTTTGATGATCTACAAGCTTGTGCGGATCCTGGAGCTCCTGAACACGGATACAAGACTCCCAGTGCAGGTGTTTTCTTTGAAAGCGTGGTAGTCCGGTTTCATTGCCAAGAAGGATACAGGCTTAATGGTACTTCAAAAAAACTTTGTGTGAGACACTTTAATGGCTCCCTGAGCTGGAAACCAAGTGATAAACCTGTGTGCCTACAAGAAGGTAAGTCAGTTTTCTTAAAGCAATTCACCAGTGTTAGTGCTTCTCATTTGTATGTGTACCTTGTCCTTGTGTCTCAGCACAAACCACAACAGGCTGGAGTCCATTTTATTGGATCTTATTTGATACATACTGGAGTTTCTCATCCGTAATCACCATTCCTCTGTTAAGTTTGTACTGTGAGAGGTTCTGTGTGTGTGCCTATGTGTTGAAAGGGACATAAAGGAATCTCGAGGAAAAAAAGTAATCCTTCTACCCAGTTACAAATCAATGCAGAGAGAAATAAGAAAACAACCTCTTATCAGTAAAGTGTTTATAGCTATTTGTTAAAACTGCCTACTTAATACTTCTTTCTGTAATATCTTACTAGGAAAATATAATTAACTTCCATTGCCACTGTTCCTGCTAATCAGGAGTTTTAAACAATTGTGTTTTATGGCGTGTGCACGATTCAAGTAAGAAAATCAAATATGCATGAAATGCAAAAATTTAAAGTCACTGTAGAAGTTTACTTTGAGATAAATCAGACTATTATGCATAAAACGACTTATTTTTATTGCAGTGCATTTTTGAATTTGTATTTGGTTTTAACTAATTAGGGCATTAAATTACTCTCTTCTTCCAGGAATTTTTAGAAGCGGGATTAATATGAATATCATAAATACAAATTTTGGCCAAAAATACCCCCCAAGCAGCGTATTTATTCCACTAAGTATATTAAAGCTATAACTTGTTCTTTATGTTGAATTATTTTGATCAACAGAGCTATTAAAATCAACAGACATGAAAAGTGTTAGTTAAATCAAGTGTGCACATTTTACTGTTGTCTTTCCATTGAAGACATCAGCAATTGCTTCACTGATTTCAAGGTGGACGGTCCTGTCAATGTTTTGCAGGAAGTACTGGGGAGAGCAGCCAGAAATAATTGGCGAGTAGTCCATAGTTTCTCAGGTAGCTGCCCAGTTGGCCAAGTAGAGGTCTTGGTAAAATATGCCATAGGCAACAGAGTCATGAGGGATGAAATCTTGAGCTCTCTTTTGATATGCACTGAGATTACAATTAGTATGTAGAACGTAAAGGCAGTAAGGCTAGTAGCACCAGCTCATAAATTGTATGATAACGTGCTGTCTGTTTTGAGAGAGATCAAAGGAAAATGAACCTAAGAGTGACTGAACAGCACAGATCCTAACTGGTGGAGCAGCCACAGATGGAACCGGAAATGGGACACACGGGTCAGCTTGTCTTCCAGACAGAACGGCTCTTCAGTGGCTTTGTGGAGCTACAATGCAGTGGTCTTAGCAGGAATGATACTGAGAACTTCTGAAACATTTAGCAGAATTATGGCCCATGCAAACTCTTCTAGGATAGATTATCAGTGTGGTGATTGTGACACCACGTAAAGACTTGGATCTGCTTTCAAATGAGATTTAATGTACAGGAAACAGATTGGAGGATAGACTCTATACCCCTTGAGTTTAGGGGTAAATTATGGGAGCAAGTCCAAATGACAACAATGACTGCTGATATCAAGAGGAAGCTGGCTGTGCAGTGCAAACAATATTCTGTGTTAAATCGCTCTACCCACAGCACTCAGCAGATTTTACCTGATTTTCAATGTTGAAATTGTATGCAAGTTTGAAGAAATTCATAGGTCATAGCTGATAGAAATTGACTTCATAAGAAGAAAGGGAGTGGTGGTAATTTTATCAGGTGGTGCTGGCTGAGAAACTTTGATATCTAGGCCTCAAGTACATATGTAGATAGGATGAAACCCTGGCACAAGTCACGTAATTATTTGGAGCTGTGTTTAATGTCAAAATTAGTGCAGCATGCAACCAAAATGTGCACAAGTTATAAGCCTCGCGAATAATACACATTCCTGTTGAAAATAATGTCCTCAAGCCATGTAGCCACAGATACAATTAAGCTATTGAAAGAAGGGAAAGAGTATCAAGGCACTGATGTGTTTAGATATTGGTGTTCAACACTGTATCACATAGTATGATCTTTTTACAGACCACAAAAAAAATAGTAATGGAGTTACCATAATAGTAATTTTGAAATAGCACCTGTACCATCCACATTATTTAAATAAGCATTGACCTATTTTATTGAATATTAAGTGCTTTACTGAATACTGAGACCTCTTCCAGCCCCAACAGTCCAAATCTATGGAAATCTGTGAAAGAAGTTTCAGATCACAATGCCTTCAACAGCAGAGTTGACACTAATGTCACTGTGATCAAAATTTCCTCCAACTGTTTTTTAAAAAGAAAGAAACTGGAAGATAAGAACATGATGGATGATGTGACAACAGGTGCTTAGGAGATAATCATTACTTTTCAGCACAGAACACTTAAAAACGATTGCAAGCCAGTGCTCTGATCAAGCAAAGCACTTAAACTTGAGCATAGCTGTAATTATGTGATTAGTCCTCTTAAAGATCTATTTCCAAAATTAAGCATACAGAAAAATACTTTTTATTATTTAGACTGAAGAATAGGACCCTGATATGGGATTTAGTGAGGCAAGTGCCTAAGTGCTTTCCTGATTAATGGTGCTTCCCTCAGGTATTGTTAGAACAATCTTAGAATTTAGCTAGGGAAAAAAAAAATAATTCTTCTTTCCAATGCATAATATAACCAGTGATTCAGAAGAAATACTAAGCAAAGGTTCTGTGGCAATTCATGGGACCTGCCCATTTATTGAAGTACTTTTCAGTGTGGTTCTTGTGCTTACCAGGACCAGAATCATGAGGAAGGAGCATGAGGGGGAGGTAGGGAGCATAGGAGCGTGGCACAGGAGCAGAGCAGTCAAGGAGCAGTTAGAACAGTGTTTGTGGGAACAGGCTGCCCAGAGAAGCTGTGATGCCCTGTCCCTGGAGGTGCTCCAGGCCAAGTTGGATGGGGCCCTGGGCAGACTGTGCTGAGGTGGCAGCCCTGGCCATGGCTGGGGGTGGGGCCCCGGGGGTTTTAGGGTCCTTTCCAACCTAAGCTATTCTGTAATTTACCCTATGTTTTATCTATGATGTAGATAGAAGTCTTCATTGCAGAATTTCTATAATGGCATGTGAAAAGAATTTTGAAATTTGTAACAGCTGCTGCTGAAATAGGAAGTTAATATTTCAACATTTGTCACTGACCTGTCGCAGGGTGAAACAAGCATTGTATGACATTCACCCAGTTAAGGCAGAGGCTGATTGCCATGGCTACTGGAGTATAAACTCCATGGTTCTGGTGCCATATGGTACATATAAAGGTCAAACACTGCCATCTGAGCCCGAACAGTAAAAACGTTCAGTACTTTGCAGTTGATTTTAAGCTAATTTCAGGAGTTTGGGTTCAGCTAAGGGTAGTTACGTATGATTTTATACCTGTATGCTATGAAGTATGATTGTTTTTATGTTTGCTATAATAATTGCTAATCACAAGTTAGTGGTATTTACAAAAGGAAGAAAAGGAACTTGTTTAAGAATGTAATCAATCTTAAAACTGCTCTTCATTCTGTTAATTGGATTTAAAACTGTCATTTTTTGTGAAGTGGCAAGAATGTCATTTTAAGTATCAGTGCAAGAATGAAGTTGCATGACTAGGTGCCAGTGAATGCCCTGTCACGAATTGGCTTGCTTAGAGTTACGCTCTCGTGTTGATCTATGGCCTGTTGTGAGTGTAACTTCCATCAATTCTAATGCAGTTATGCACATAAATGCCAAAGCTCTAAGGTAGGAATTTTCTATTTACTGTTTAAGAGCAATATGTCGTGTTGTTCACACTTTAATCTAATCTTCTCCCACAGTGATAATGTGGCTGCTGAGACTGTTGCTCTACTTGTAACAAATGCTGCCTCTTTCCTATGAGATTGAATCAAATTTACAGTCAGTGTAGGGATAGCAATGAAGCTAAGAACTGTGCCCTGCTCTCCCAGTGCTCCTGCAGGCAGATGCCTTTGAGATGTGCTCAGTGCCTTTGAGATGTTCTCCCAGTGGCAGGGATGATAAACTGGCAGTAAAAGTAACAGGCTAGAGCACAGTTTGGGCACAATTTCCTCGCATGACATTTAGCACTCAGTTCTCTTAGCCTTTGTCCCTGGATCTGTGAGATGACCGAAGACTTTTTTTTATCTCCATCTTTTAATGCTCTTGCCCAGTGTTTAATTCTTAAGCCTGGTCACGCACCCCTTCATGATGCATGTAACCTGTGCTTGGTGTGATGGCCGCTAGTATTGGGAAAAGCCATTGTGTGCTGTTGGAATACAAGCAAAGGCAGCAGGAAGGCATTTAATATGCACTGAAATCTCATGTTTTCCATCTTCGGAATGATTCCACTAGCACAGTAGTATAGATTCAATACTACTGAAAGAGAGAATTTGGATCTTAGTTGTTTTTTTGTTTTTTTTTTTTTTTAAGAGGATAGTGTGCAGAGGAGTTGTTCCTGCATACAGCACATTTTTTGTGACTATCTCCATAGCCCTCCTGCTGAGATGCCTTAACTCTTCAGATGCTGCTGTAGGGAGAGAGGGTGGCCCTCCTTCCCTGTGGCCTGGAAGTAACATCTCTGAGTGATGCTTGAGGCCAGGCTGAATGGAGCCCTGGGCTGCCTGAGCTGGTGGGTGGCAGTCCTGCCCATGGCAGGAGATTGGAACTGGATGGGCTTTAAGGTCCCTTCCAGCCCAAACCATTCTATCATTCTGTGATTCAATGTTCCACTGTATTGTTTGCATACAAATTTAAGCACTTGGACTATTGAGTTTAACAAATCTTGCCTGCTAAAAAATATCCTCCTTTGACACGTGAGAGCATGGTTTGTTGAAGCCAAGGACTCCTAATGTACATCTTCATGAAGAGTAAGCCAGGATGACACCAGTGCCGGGCCTGCCAGCTGCCCCCACCTGCATAAAGACCACTGCCTTTGTACCTCTGGAAGAAAAGAAACGTGTTCCTAACTAGGGCATGCTCTTGGCTGACCCATTTTAATATTCACGCATTCAGTATAAGCAGATCATGTAGAAGTGGCAGAAAAGAATGTAAGTCATAGCCATTACTGTTTGATGCTGGTTAAAGACACTGTTAAATGGTTTAGTGACTTCCATGGGTTTGCAGAAAAGTGCTTGGAATAAAGCAGTTTTATTTTCTAGGACAGGACATTTTAAAATTCGGTCACTTCTCAGCTTTTCCAAACAGAGTTTGTGCCAGCTAATCCAGTTGTTTGCAGAGAGAGGGCATCCGCAATTTATTCCTGGCTAAGTGCTAAACAATAGAAATTCAGCCAGTGGGAAACCATTTCCTCATGAGGTATCAGGAAAAAGCACTGTAATATTGTCGTACGGAAGTCCCATACTTAGCTGGGGCTTGTAATAGGGCCACTATCAAAGCCAGCCAGGATCTAGTGAGGATATAATGTACAGTAAGCAACTTTGCACTGTCCTCCACCATCATCTATCCGATCAAGTGATTCAATCTATAGCTGTTATTTGGAATAATGAGAATGAAGTCACTGTTATAGATCATTGTTACAGAATCAATTTCCCCCGCTTTGGAAGTGAAATCTCATATGTTACTGCAGTGTATATATACGTCTTTTTTATTTGTGCAGCAACAGAAAGCTGTTGTGCCCAGAGAGTGAGCTGCTCATTGATATTATCTTCTGTTATCCATCTCAGCCCTCCTCCTGCAGGGCTGCAGAGCAGGACCCTCATCCATCTTATCCCAGCCATGGAAGTGCCCGGGGCAGCCTCTGCATGACAGACAGTAGACGAAGTTTGCATCAGGCATTTCTTATGGGGCAACCTCTGCTGTCTGTCTGCTTCACTGATTAACTTGCCAGCAAGAGTGAAAAATGCTCAGTTTGGAAGGGGGATGCCTACATCCTTAGCCTAGTGCATTTTGTAGGTTCCTGGCAGGGAACACATCATCCCAGACTTGGACATCTATAAATGAATACCTATAAAGCAACAAGAGCAATGGGGAAATTCTGAACTAATAATGTATCTGAGCCCAATACTGAAGTTTAGGCATGTACAGTGTATTTTAGAAACCATCTTTATAACATAAAGGTACACTGGATAATATATTTTAAATGGGGAAGCAACACTTTTTCACTTCATATTAGTAAAATTTAATGGTTGAACCTCAAAGTAATAATGACTTACTTTGCCTAAATAAATGAAGTTTTCCCTGGAGGTGTTTATGAAATGTGGAGATGTGGCAGTGAGGGACGCAGTTAGTGGGCATGGTGGGGATGGGATGGTGGTTGGACTAGGTGGCCTTCCCAACAGTAGTGATTCAATGAAGACATCATGAAATATGTTTGCTCTTAGTAGTTTGCATGTACTATGCTAAACTGCAGTTTACCTTGCTTAAAGTTGTGTTTCTAAACAAAGAAGTTGTTGCTTTACTTTGTGCATGCTTGCTGTAACCTGCTAAGACCAAACTTGGATTTCCCTCTACCTCTTCAGCAGGAATTACTGCTGAAAATGGCAGAAACTTTCACTTTTATGCAAGTCTCAAAGGACTGCTGAAACTTCTTTTTAGTAAATACCACATTCCTAAATGAAGGTGATTACTCCTTGTGGTAGAAATATTTGAAAAAAATAGCATAGAACAGGCTTGCAGTATTTTTATTTGCTTGCTGTTATTTGAACCACTCTGCGGGTTTTGTTGCCTGGAAATTTTTATCCCCATCTGTGTCATGGATTGACTGCTGGCAGAAAACCAGATAATTTTGATTATATTTTCCCAGTATGTGATATTTTCCTCTCTTCTGTTTAGTCTCACTTTGCATTCATGTGGAGGATGAACTTTCAGTAACCTGGACTATTCCTTCATATCCTCTTGGCATATCTCTTAATTATTCAGTATTAGCAGAATGTTTTTAACTGTGCCTCACCCTTTCCTTCCACTTCATGATATCTTTCATTTTTTTAGTCATGTGGGTTTTATTTTATATTTTGGAGATTTTGGCACCAGAGCATACCTTGAATTGATTATAGTGCTTGATAAATGTATCTCAGACAGGTAAGAGAGCCCATGACTGTATATCACTGGAGGTTTGTAGCTATTCCACTTTTTGAGAATCTTTACAAACACTTGAGATGGCGCTTAGTTGCTTAAAATCTCACACCCTCTAAAGGCAAATGAATTCAGGCACATAAAATGGCCTGATTTAAAACAATCAATGAGATTAACATGAATACGTTCTCAAAATGAACTCTGTGAAATGGAGTTGGATAAGCCCTTGTAGCTGTACCTGGTTTTCATTCTGTCTCTCTGCTAACACTGCAGTTTCCCTTTGTTCCTTGTTCATATCTGTATTTTATCTCCTCTTTCATCTTGTCCTTGGTGCTGTCAAAGAGTCTGCCGTCGCATGGGCCGTCGTGTAGTCCCAGTGTGCGGTGTAATTTGCACTTGATGAATGGAAGGAGAAAATTAAAAGGAGTCTTCCTAAACTATCTTAATTGTGTTTGTTTAAAAACGTCTTGGGGAATGAACCATTAGTGTAACACATCACATTCTTGTACCACACCATAGACTTTGTAACTGATGGTTAACTAGGGAAAGTATATATTTGCTGAAATGCATTTTGTCCAAATGGTTTAAGCAGAGCACTTATATTAACTGATAATTTTTGCTTAAGAGCTTGATTACTGAATAGCTAGCTGTGCTATTTTTAATTAAGTCAATTTTTTTCTTTATGAAGTCACAGATTGCCTTGTTCCACATGTTGAAGATGCAAAGATTCATAACAAGACTTACAGGACTGGAGATAAGTTAATAATCAGCTGTCATGAAGGATTCCAGATCCGTTACCCTGACTTAGACAACATGGTTTCAATTTGTCAAGACGATGGAACTTGGGATAATCTGCCCATTTGTCAAGGTTTAGTACACCAGAACATCCTGTTTTATAGCTCATGCACCTTGTGATAGCCTGCCAATATTTCTTCCTGCAGTTTTAAGGATGACAGTGGTCTCTTCAGTCCCACTGTAGAGTATTTGAATAGCGATTCTTCTAAGATACTTTGGTTTCTCCACCCCACTGCTTGCTGCAGAAAAGAAGATACTGGCTTCTGAACATATCCATGCTTTATGAATTATGAATTGTTTTATCTGATAGTTTATAATCTTACAGAGATGCATTTTTAAAAGAAGTCAAGGTTAAACCAGAATATCAGCAAATGATTTGATGGGCAGATGATGTTTTTGTGCCAATTTATGGAGAGGTTTAAGCTTCTTGCTGCAATTTACCTTTGTTTGCCATGTGCAGTGGGCATAGCTAAAGGAGAGAATATCCTGGAACCTGTTCATCTCTCTGAATTTTCAGCAGAATTGATAGTTGGGTTCACAGTCCATTAAACTGATTGGTATTGACTGAAAACTGAGGATTGGATTTTGTCCAGAAAAACCATTGGTCATAGAACTTGTAGGATTAGTAGTTTGAGAATTCAGCTTTGCTTCAACTGCAAGAAGTGGCTGGGGGTAAGCCAGCTTTATTTAATGAGAGTTAACTCCCAGTCTGCTCTAATTTCACCTTTCTGACATGCATGTCTTGGTACCACTGCCTTTTAACCGATTCAAGCTTGGCCAGCTCAAGAGCATCAAAATATTTTATCTGTCTATGCAAAGGAGAAGAGTGGCTTAACGCATTCCAACTCCCCATCCCAAAGAGAGAGATCAAAAAACAGGATGTTAGGGTGTGCAGATAGGTGAGGTGAACTCAAACAAGGTGGATTTGTAGATACTGTATTTACCAAAGATTCAGGTAGAAATTTTGTGACAGTCAGAATTAAATAGGAGAGTAGAAACAGCCCCTAGTTTGTTACTTTCTTCAGTTGCTGTATTTGTACTATAAATAGCGATCAATTGCTGCTACTCAGTGCTCAATGTTTACTGCTTTTAAAAGTAAAGGCCATGCTAGTTAAAGTTTTGAAGTCAATTGCATGAGAGCAAAGTGCTGTAACTACCAGATAGGTAAAGAATAGATAACGCAGATTCCAGTATCTTCTGTGTTTTGCTAATTTCTATAATTCTGTTACAGAATTAACTCCAAAATATATTTTTTTTGGCCTTGTTAGGCACTAATACTGTCCAAGGCTCTCAAATACTTGCAGTAGGGAGCCTGACAATTACATTTATGTGGCCCTTTGATTATAACAGGCAAGAGTCACATGATGCTGAAATGTCTTTTTCTTCTGACAGAACATTGGGAAAGGATTGTAGAACAGAGAAAAATCAAGCTCAGTCTATTTTTGACATGCAGTAGTCATGATAATTACTGATCTGGAATGATGTGAATTGGCAAAAAAATATCAAAAGGAAGTTTCCAGGCAGCTGGAGGTGTTTGGAGACTGGGGATTTTCACAAATCCTTAGAATTTTTACAAATTCCACTAAATCTTGATCCTGCACTGCAAAGACCTTGGTGGCATTAAAGTTCTGCATCAGAAAGGCAAAACCTTCCCCAGTATAACGCAAGTTTGGGCAGGCAGCGCTCCTCCCTTCTGTCCCATTGGAGGCTGCTCATGTCATCCTGCTCTGCAGGCTGCCTGGTTTGCAGGAGCAGTTAATGTGAGGGATGTATCTGACTGGGGTACAGGCAGTAAGTAGGAGATAGGCTGCCTATGGTTTACTTGTGCAAGGAAATAACCCACTAGTAAAACAACTGTCAGAGTCATTGCTCTGTTAGTAAAGTGTGCTGGAAAAAGCTTTCAAAGCTTTATTCTATTTGCGTTTGCTTTCATTCCTCTTCCTCAAGTGGCCATTGGAAGGAAATAATCACTTTAAGTACTTTATAGACAGTAGCTGGGCATCCACAGCAGTGCTACTATCTTACAAGAGATGCTCTCACTCTGGTTCTGGTTTCTCTGTCAGGCTTAACATTATGTGAGCCTTTGTAGATATCCTTCACAAATTTCTTGTAGTGGCAAGAGACCCATTTCTGGGTTGCCATAATGAAATTCCTGCTTGTCTCCTAATCCTGTAATATTTATCATTCCCTGATTAGTAATCATCTTCCCCTGATGTTCATGCAAATTTAAAATCAACACTATTAATTATTATCCAGTGGGTCATTTCTGATGCCATGAGGCCTTTATTTTTTCTGTAGTACATCTCTAAATGCCACCTCAAAGCAAGCCTTGAATATATGTGAATAACCTGTCAGAAAGTCATGCCATCTATTCATTTCACTGCTGTTTCCTCTTCTTTTCTGTACCAAACACAGCTGGTGACCACTTAACTGTCACAGCTGAGTACCACCCATGTCACAAATCCCTCGAGAGTAATTCTAGAGGTAGAATGGAGCCGCTGACTGCATTTAACGTTTCTGTTGATAACAGATATTTTAAACCTTTGATGGTCTGATCTGAACCCTCGCTCAGTGTTTATCATGTGACTGCTCACAGGAAATGACATCCCTTTAGACTTTCTCAGTTTGGAACTTCAAAATCATTAATTCTGTCTGCAGATCTTTTGCAGTTGTGTGCACTTTATCACAAGAGCAGTTTGAATATTTAAGATCTACCTGACTGTTTTAAGAGGAGAAATAAAATTCATGGTTTATATAAATGACAGTCTTTATTTATTTTAGATTCTACCTCAAAAAGGGATTGCCATCTGCTATAGCAGTGAATGTTTGTGCAACAAAATACTGTAATTTTCAGTAAACCTTCCTTGAAACTTTGTTGAAACTAACAAAGCATGTGGGTTAAACGATAGAAAGAGTTTCAAAAAGAATAACGAGGCATAAGTATCTGAGGGAGAGCATGCAGTCATGCCATTCATGGTAGAGAAGGTGGAAAATATTGCACTCTTCAATCTAGGAGTTTTTTTCTGGGTATGTTAAAATGAATAAGATAAGCACCTTGTAATAAAAGATACCTCCTTCTTCTTAATTTGCAGGTTGCCTGAGGCCATTGGTTCTTCCTCATAGTTACATTAACATATCTGAGTTCGAGTCCTCCTTCTCAGTAGGAACAGTGGTGTATTATCAATGCTTTCCTGGATATAAACTAGAAGGGGCAGAGTTCCTTGAGTGCATGTATAACCTTATCTGGTCAGATAGCCCACCTAGGTGCCTTGATGTGGAAGGTAAATGTCTTATTGTTCATTTATCTTTTAATTTTGCAAAAATCAGCATGCTCAAAATGATTCTAACCCAGGGCTATACCTGCAGTTCTACTGTGCGTAATGTTCCTGAAGGCCATGCAGAATGCACCCAGTTTGTGTTGCATGCAATGAGCTCCAGTTCACTGCAGTCAGCTGCCAGGGTTCTCCAGCTCATGGCTTCTCTCTGCTGTCCTCAGTGCAAGAGGGAAGGTTCTTAATAGGGATGATTGCTTTGCCTTGAAAATGTAAATCTTTGCAGCTTTTCTGATGAAAATATGGAGGGAGTTATGGAGTTCACATTCACATACAGATGGTCAGTGTTTCTATAGATACAGACACATTTCCATGTTAAGCAAAAAATGCTCAATGCAGACTCTTATGTTGGGCAGTTTTATTCAGTGCCACATGCTGCTGCTGCACACTTCAGAATCGATTGTCTCTCATAGTAGTTATCTTTAAGGAAGGATCTGCAACCAAAGTGAATGACTTTATTGATTAGGAACTTCAAAATTGTGGTCAGAGTGTGATAGATATTAGCCATCCAAAAGGAATAGTCTGTGGCTGCAGCTGCAGTGATGCTGCAAAGACATTGAATGGAATATTCCATACATGATCAAAATCTTGTGAACCACCTTCTGTCACCTTCATATTGCATCCTAAGTAAAAAGCATCCCAGGAAGTTACCAGAATTGAAATACATACTCTAGAAGGACTACATTTTTGCTCTTTCAAGATAGATATCTATATTTAGAAAATAGTTTAAAGCAGTTGTAGAAACGTCTGAGTGATGCTTATTTCAGAGAGCTAAACACTAAACATTCTGGGAGTGCAAAAATTTGCCAACAGCATCAACAAAGTGGCATAATACACAAAAGCAATGAAATGATCCTTTTCCAAAATGTAAAACGCCTTTGCAGTTTTGGGATGACATGAGTAGGATTGTGTGGTTTTGGTTTTTTGTTTGTTTGCTTGTTTTGTTTTTATTTTGATTTAGCTCACCATGAAAAATGCGTACTAGATCTAGGTAATACCTTTTGAGAGGTTTGCTTGTTGTTGCTTATAACATCACAGCAAATAAATAACTCGAAAAAATTAGAAGGCCTTGTTAGTCCTAAACAAAGAAAGTGAAGTGTTTTAATAATAATGACAATTCTTCAGTTAGGAAGATAGGAGCATTAATATATAGATATCCCAGTGTATGAAACATAGGAAGCTGTGCTAGTGTCCTTTCCGTCACCGAAGGCCACCACAGGCAGCTTCACCTGGGAGAGGTGTTGTAGGAACACATCAGTTGGTATGCCACAAATTTCAACATTAACTCCAACAGAACAGAGTAAATCAATGCTAGATGCTCTCACTGGGAAGTGTTTAAGTGATTTATGCAAGGAGTGCCATACCCCTGAGATCTTGCTGCAGTCTACCTCTCTAGTGAACTGAACTGCCTCCCTGCATATTTTTTATTCCTTACCTTGCATATCCAGGTCAAGCTCATTCCTTGGTACTCTTTTTATGTGTGATGTACAATCTCACCAAGAAATATTTTTCACAAAGGAAATCTGCAACTAACAAATTAATTCCATTTTCAAATTTCTCCCAATAATATTTTCCACTCAGTAATCCAATATGGCAATGATTAAAAGCAAATGGTTTTAATGAAGCTATAGTACAACATTTTGGAGTTTTTATTGTGCTGCAAGCAGAATTTTTTTCTTCCTCGTTCTGTTGTATATTCTTGAAACCTTTCTCACAAATGCTATCTGCCAATCTTGTGAAATTTTGCCCCCTTTTAGGCTGGATTGATTCTGGTCAAGGGTTTGCAGATCCATTTAACTACATGGTTCTGCTAGGCATCACTTGGCTCACTTTCAGCACTGTGTGGAGTAGCTGTCTCTGTAAAGCTAAAGTTAAAGATGTACGTGCAGGTTTGGAGCTTTGGGTGTATGCTGATAGCATTTATGCACTTCAGATGTAGAATCACAGTAGCTGAAGGTAGGAAGGAACAATCAGCTTGCGTAATCCATTGCTTGTGCTCCCACCCTACCTCATTCTATCTAATGCTCAGCCCCATCTTGTTCTCAGCATGGCAAGAGCAGAGCTTCACAAGCTCCTGTGAGAGGCTTTGTTATGTTCAGGACATTCTCCTGATAGGAAAAAAAAGATATTTTCTGCATGAAGACTGTGTTACCTGGTACTGACGTGCAGCCAGCACTGCAGTGGTGTGCAGTGGCTTCTCAGAAGCAGCTGCTAGTTCTGATCAGGGAAATTGTTGTAGCTCAGGCAAATGAGGACGCCGCTAGCACAGATTGCCAAGTATTTACTGTTATGAGATCCTCTTCTTAAATGCTTGTAACTTTGCCAAATTTAAAACATTCACATTGATTTTCGAGTGTCTGCCTCAAGCTGAATCATTTGCAAAGCTTCAGTTGAAATGGTTCAGCTATATGAGAGAATGGTGCTAGAGGAAATTGTGTTGTTTTGGCAGTGTTGGAAATTGTTACAGTCATCTAGAGGGTAAGCTGAAGCATCTTAACCCTGAATTTTCTTCTTCCATTCCTTGATTTACATCTCTAACTTTCTTTATACCCTTTTTTTTTTTTTTTTTTTTTTTTTGTAGTGGAACTCCATAACTATACAGAAGTTTGTTAAGCATCCTTTTTTACTGAAACTTCATAGACTAAAGAAATATGAAAATTAAAGAAAATTGTTAATTTAGTTATTAATATGATTTTTAAATTACCAGTTTGGGGTTAATTATCCATCTGTGGAAATTAATGTGAGTTAGTGATTGCTTCAGTAAAATCAGTTATGCAAAAGATGGGGGAAAAGAAAACATAAATTGAAGATTTTACCATATGTGGTATAAAAATTTCCTGTAAAATTAGATGGCTTCCTAAAATGTTGGAGGAGAGCAAATACTTCAAAATGTAAGGAAACTGTGAAAAGAAATGGACAGCCAACTACTAAGTAGAAATATAAAATATTTGTGATAAATAAATAAAATATTTGTAATAAAGATATTACAAAGGATTTGGAGAAATTAAAAAAAAAAAGTCTCGCCATTAGTACTGGGAGAACATGATCTGCATATGATTACACACCTTGCCATCTGGACTCTCCATTTTAATCTTATTCCCTTTGGAAGTCTTCCAAGAAGATGTAAAGAAAAGCTCTTGCAAAGGATGAGGAGGGAATCAGGCAAGGAAAGGAAAAGCAGGGGGAATTTGCTTGTAATTCTGATGCTGGAATATAAAGCAGTGCATGCATAGTGTAATCGAGTAATCCTGGCTTTATGTTTAAGAGTATGAGGGAAAACAAGTTAATTGAGATAGCATACAGCAGATGTGATTCTAGCATCTGGAATGCCTGGTTTCAGCATCAGCCCAACTGAGCACAAAAGCCGGAAATCAGATACACTGAGATATCAAAACAGTTCTGAAGCTAATTCTGTATGCTAGAACCAACAGATTCTCGAGCTGAGATTAAACTTGAGAGTATGTAAAACAAAGTATTACATGTTCTTGTAGGTAGAAAATGAAACAAACCTGTGTAACAGGCTTCGAAGGAAGGATCAAATGAATAGAAGAGAGGAAAACTGAAGGAATTTCGAAACTGGTACATAAAACCAGTTCATTGTGAGTGGGGGTGAAGAGTCATAACACTGTGCAACTGCTGATTACAGAAATTAACACAAGCTGAGTGAGATTAGAGATGGAAGGAATTTAGAAAACTGCCCAGCAAAGTCAGAAGGGAAGCAAAAAAAACAACAACCCAAACAATCTACATAGAACATCAGGAAACTGCTGAAGAACAAAAGTCGGTCATGTGAGAATTATAAATGATGAAGCATGCTACAGGTACATAATAAATGTTTTGGAAAGACAGGCAAGGATAGAGTTTCTAAATGATACCTCTCATGAAGATTCTGAAGATAATGCAGTGAGACAGACCCTAAGTGAGAGGATCTGATGGTTGTGACATTGAACCTAAGCAGAAAAAAGCATAAGAGAGTACTGGAAGGTGTTAATGTAGGTGAAATGCAATAGCCACTTAGTACTTTAAAACAGTAGCTTAAACTCCCTAACCAATTACACACAGGATACTTTGAAAGAAAGCTTTAAAATCGTCATTCTTACATAACAATTACTGATGCCAAATACCATAGTTGAGACTGGGCTGTACATTTGGTAAGTTTTATCCTTAAAATGTTTTCAATTCTCGATGGAACATATAGCAATACACTGGAGAGGAGAAAAATCAGTCTGTAATCAGTTTACATTCAAGAGTCAGAATAAAGTAAGCAATCCTAAGCCTGAGATATTATACATTAGCAAAAAAGGATTTATCTCTGCATTTCTTTGTTGACTTTGAGAAGGCTTTAGATAAATTCCAATATGACAAACTGATGCATGTTCTCAGGGATCATAATGTTGATGCGGCAGATCTCAAACAAATAAAAATCTTGTAGGGGGAGCAGAGAGCAGCAAAACGAGCAAGCTGTGAAATACTGTGGTATCAGCTCAACTTTCCTAAGTCCATGTGGTCTGATGGAATTCATCCTGGAGTGCTGGAGGAATTAGCAGACACTGTAGCTGGATCACTTTCAATTATCTACCAAACTGGGAGGTTGGAGAGGTTCCTGCTGACTGGGAGCTAGCCAATGCTATACCCATCTACAGAATGGGCACAAGAGAAAACCTGAGCAGCTACAGACTTGTCTAACCTCAGTGCCTGGGGAAGATGGCCTTGGAGTATACTGAAGAGGCTTCCTCATGAAGTGGTTGATGCCCTATGCCTGTTAATGTTTAAGAGATGTTCAGGCATTACCCTCAATAACGTGTTTTAACTTTTGATTAGCTCTGAAAATATTAGGCAGATGGACTTGATGATCGTTGAAAGTCCCTTCCAAGTGAACTATTCTATTTACTCTGCAGTATTAAGAAATAAATAATAGCCTTGTTTTTAACTGCACTGACTGCAGTGGA